CGTTTGAGCGCCGTCGCCGCACACGTCAGCTCGTCCCGATCCGGGGTTTGTTATGAAGACAGCAGGAGTCGCAGATTATGATGCTGTTCAGCCTAGTTTCATGCAAAGATGGGAATTAAAAGAACAAGTTTGAAGTTACTGTCCTGACACATTTGCATTTATACACCAGTCCAATAGGTAAATATTTAATGTGACTCTGCAACCGGGTTTCTACGGAAGTTTCATAATGATCTGTATGTCAGCAACTAGCAATGTTGTGAAGTAGCTAAGTGCTTTTACCCAAGTATTGCATGGGAGTCCAATTTTCGGATACTTTACTTGAGTGTTTTCATTTTTTGCTACTTCATACTTGTACTCTATTATTTGCTTAAATTTGATTACTTCACACATTCATGTCAATGATTACAAAAATATTCAACAAACAAGCTACAACATATTATGTTTGGTAAAGTAATATCACATAAATACACTCATGGCTTCTTTATTAGGTAAACCTGTTGAACTGCCAATCACCTCGCATCAATTCTGTGCATTTGGGCATGTAGACATGATTACATGACAACTAGCTGTAGTTCAAACCGAGCACCGGAATAGAGACGAAAGGTGCTTTGAACGTGGCATGGTTGTTGGTGTCAGACAGGCTGACAGCAGAAACTGCTGATCTACTGGGATTTTCCACATGCAACCATTGCCAGGGTTTACAGAGAATGATCTGGAAAAGAGAAAATATCGAGTGAGCGGCTGTTCCCTATAGGCAAACATGTCTTGTTGGTGTCAGAGGTCTGAGGAGAACGGTCAGACTGGTTTGAGATGATAGAAAGGCAGCAGCAGCCCAAATAACCACTCGTTCCAACCAAGGTATGCAGAAGATCATCTCTAAACGCATCCAGCCTTGAATCTAATGGGCTACAGCAACACCGGGTGTCGCTAATGTTGGCTAAGAACAGGAAACTGAGGCTACAATTCACAGTGGCTCTCCAAAACTGGACAACAGAAGATTGGGAAAACATTGCTTGGACTGATGAATCTCAATTTGTGCTGATTGTAGGGTCAGAATTTGGCATAAACACCGTGGAAACATGGATTCATCCTGCCTTTTATCGACAGTTAAGGCTACTGGTGTTGTAATGGTGTGGAGGACATTTATTTGTGACATCTTGGGCACCAGCTGAGCATCGTTTAAACACGACAGCCTACCTGAGTACTGCTGCTGACCATGTATGTCCCTTTATGACCACAGTGGACCCATCCTCTGATCAATACTTCCAGCAGAATAAGGCACCATGTCTTAAAGCTCAGTAATCTCAATCTGGTGTCTTGAACATGAAAATGAGTTCACCGTACTCCAACGGCCTTCACCGTCACCACATCTCCATCCAGCAGAGCACCTTTGGGATGTGGTGGAGTCATGGATGACAAATCTGCAGCAGTTGCGTGATTCTATCGTAGCAATATTGACCAAAATCTCTGAGGAATCTCCAGCAACTTGTTTGATCTGTTGCCACGAAGAACTGAGGCAGACCTGAAGGTGAAAGAGGGTCCAACCCAGCACTAGCAAGGTGACCTAATAAAGTAGCTGGTGACTGCTTAATAAATGCATCTGTACACTGTAGTACTGGTACTTGTGACAGTACAAGATTGAAGCACTTCTTCCTTCTCTGTAGATACATACAAACACATTTTTAATTAGGTAAACAACTCGTCTGTGGTGCCTGGACTTGTGTAGGGATCAGTCAGGATCAGCGGTGTTCTGTACTTTTAACCAAGTGAGTTCAATTTTGGGATAAATAACTTTGGTATTCCTTTTTCGTGGTACTTTTACTTCTACTCCACTACATTTCAGAGGCAAATAGTGTACTTTTTACTGCATTTAGTTAATAACTTAAGTTGTTTTGTAGATTCTGTTTAATTGGACAAAATATAATGAACAAAAAAAATGTTTGTGTAATATTGTAAAGATAAAAGTTTGTTGCTCTCTAAGGGAAAATTCAGAAGCAGCAGATTTAAAGTAGTTAGATCTCCTTTATCAGCTGAAACATTAAAATGATGAACACATCATTGCATTAGTAATTAGAACGCGGTATTATACATGATTCCATTCTGCATAACAAGTACTTTTGCTGCTTTAAGTATGTTTTGATATTAATACTTTAAGTAAAAATTTGAATGCAAGACTGAGTGTCTTACTCTTATGTGAGGGTACCTCTTCCACCACGAGCAACTAGTACTATTACAGGTACAGCAAACAGCAAAAAGCTGCTCTTCCAACACAGGATAAACAACATCAACTTATTGATTCGGGTCTCCTTTAACTAGTTTTGCTCTACTGGTGCTGAAGCTCACCAGTTCCCGTGAGAAACTGGATGGCGCTGCTCAAGGCTGGATGAATTATTAAAGAGGAATTTGAGCTAAAATCTGACTCAGAGTCGGTCAGCACACTTTCTTTAATGCACCAAATCAAAATATGAAGGTCGTATGGAATATTTTAATGAATTCTCTTCCTTCTCTTTTGCACGGGGAACAAGTATTAGCTGTTCCAACACACGGCATCTCTGCAACAGAACGGAAGCAACCAAATATATTGGAAACGATAATGAGCAGCGAGTGGAGTCAGAGACCAGAAATCGCAAATCGGTAATGAGTGTGCCCGACGTTTCCATCTTGTGCCACCTAATGAGGCTGTGGATTAACTTAATGATCGAGAGTTTATCACCAGCTGAACACCCCAAAAACTTTTTGTGCACAATTGGCGAAATTTAACCCTTTTCTATCCAAGAGCAATAAAAAAAAAGAAAAAAATGTTTTAGCTTAGATTATGTAATTCGGTTGACACATTAATGAGTCTGTGGATCCTCCACTGGGAAATTATGAGCATCAAACACAACATTTTCTGCATTATGGGGAGTTTATATTCACTTATGTGTGGCATTTTTTTCATCAAATTAGGGTGGAATTGTCTGTGGTTATGCAAAAAGAAACACAAAATAAATCTAAATAATGGAATATAATGTCAGTTTTTCTAACCAAAGCAAATACAAGTAGGTTTTCTATTCATTCCACATGTTTGTCAACAGTCAGCTGGACATGAAACAGCTTTGGTCGTTCTGACATTTCAGTATTCAACAGTCAACCTTCTGAAATTGAAACCTGGAGTGTCTTCTACCACAAATCAGGAAACAAATTAAATGATGTTTGATGGAATCTTTAAGAATCTTCCTTAAGGGGACCATTTGGATGGTTTTGGCCAAATGAGCTTGAAAAATCTATAAGACATATAGAAAATCTTTAGCATGGATGTTGGTTTTCTTTGAACCCTCGGGGAACACATTAAGCCGGAGTCCTCCCTGAGGAGACGCTGAGCATCAAACAGTTAGTTTCCTGCATTCTTGTGAATTTTCACACACCAGTTTGTGGCTTTTCTGCATCAAATTATGGTAATTATTGCGTCTCTATTTATGCAAAGGAAAACACAAAATTCTAAACCAGGCAATACAAGTTATAATGAAGTACAATGCAGGTAGTCTGTATCCGCTGAATTAAAATGGAAAATACTTGCAGCATATGGAAAAGCCGTAATATGGATGTACATTCAGTTTGACCTTTAGGGGTGAAACATTAAGTAGGAGAGAAATTTTGAGCATTAAACAAATTTAAATAGACTTAAATAGACTTATGAATGGTATTTGGCTAAATTAGGATGAAAAATCAATGCCGCATATGGAAAATCTACAGCATGGGCATTGGTTTTGTTTGAACTTTAGAGGGAAACAATAAGTAGGAGGGAAATTTTGAGCATTTCTTCTTCTAATCTATACATTTTCTGGCTCAGGTTATGGTGCAAATATCTTTATTTAGGTAAAGGAAAATCCAAAATGTATGCATCAGGTAAGAATCCAAACTATAGTGGAATACAATGCAGGTATTTTTTCCATATTTTTTAAAGACAGCTAGAGAATGAGACGGAAATTGAGTTTTTGGGTGATTGAGGCTGAATGAGCACGAAAAATAACCACATCTGGACAATTTATAGGAACAGATGTAGGGTTAATTTTCATCTTTAGAGGGGAAACAAGAAGTCTCGGGGGCGTTTTGACCACTAAACACATGATTTCCTGCATTCTAGTGAGTTTTCACGCAGAAACATGTGCTCTTTCGGCCTCGGTTTATCTTGTAAATGCCTTTATGTAAAGGAAATCATTTAATTTCCTTCTTTCATGTATTTATCCAGAAATTAAGACATTGGCACCATAGAGTGGAGCAGAAAATGCACAAATTGGTGCATAAAAAAAATCCCCAGAATGCAGGAAATGAAGTATTTGATGCTAAAACTGCAGGGGTACAAATTCACAGGTTCCAAAAAGTGAAGGGGATGCATCTCCTGCATCCTCCCTGGACTCCACTCCTACTGGTACATTAACCCACATAAGAGGAAACACTGCAGCTGGAAACCAGGAGAAGTTACATAACTTGAGCCTGAAGGGAAGCCTTTTTCTGACTGAATTAAGAAAATCATGTTTTTTTTCTGTATGAACTAACCACCAGGCACAGTATGCAACTCAATACAATGCATATAAAATGTCCAGGAAGCGTTGCAGGGCTGAAATATCACATTGCATTGGATTCTTTTTTTTTTTTTTTTTTGCTGCACCACCGCAACTCAAACCCTCCAATTCCTCCCTAAAACCTGTTTAAAGCGTGACCAGAACCAACCGTGGCACTAACTGGATTACAAACTCCACTTTTTTTTTTTTCCTGCCAAAATGTCGAACACGTTGGCAGCGTCAGATTGTCACTTTCCCGGCAGGTCCTAATGAGTCATGACAGGAGCGGAGCCCGGAGCCGTCCTCCTCCCACGCCGCTCAGCCCACTGCGCTCCGTATTTGAGGAGCCGCTCGGCTGCAGGAGCTCAGAGCAGCTTCTCTCCTGCCGAGAAGGAGGAGACCGGAGCCGCTCTTCGGGGTTTTCTTCTCTCTGGATTTACCCTCGTCCTCTCCGGCACGATGAGGCTTTTCTTTGCCGTGCTTGCGGTTGCGGCTCTGCTGACAGGTGAGTGTTTATTCCTTCTTCTTTATCTTCTTGTTGTTGCAGTAAAGTTAGTGATCAGTTCAGCACCACGGACAGAGACTCAGACACTTTATTCACGTTTTGCAGAAAATCTAGCGCTTCCAGTGGTCAAAGAAGGACAGAGAGAAGATGTGGTATGCTTCATTCTTCATTCTTTTATTTTGAATTTTTAATTTGAGCCAATTTAAAGCTTTTACAGTTTTTATATTTAGATGATTTGCATGTTGCAGGTGACAAGATGTCTGGTTGAAGTCCTGTCCAAAGCTCTCTCCAAACCGGACTCTCAGCTGGATCAGGAATGCAAAGATATTATCCAAGCAGGTTTGTAGCACCAGAGATCTACTGAAACAGAGGTGTAGGTTTAGAGAAGAGGGCAAACCTCCTCTGCAATACTTCAAACACGTGTATTTGACTCTGCAGGGAAAATATTGAAGGAGAGAAGTTGCAGCAGAATCCTGTAACTGAGCCTCACTGCATTATAGCCCATTTAGATGTTTTACTTATGCATGAACTTTGGGGTTTTTCTTTATCTAAATAGAGACATTTGCATCATAAATTGAAGCAGAAAAGACGCAAACTGGTGCATAAAAATCCACCACAATGCAGTAAAATAAGTATTTGATGCTCAATTTAAAAAAAAAAAACCTACATCTGAATATAGATTTCCCAGATTATTCTTCGTGCTCATTCAGCCTAAATATTTAAATTTAAGTAATATTCTTTAACTGTCTTTGTAAGAAATGCAGAATGCATGCATCGTATTACAATATAGTTCTTTTTTTTTTAACCTGATGCATGAATTTTGGGGTTTTTCTTCACCTAAATAAAAACATCATCATGCATGAAAATCCACCAGAAGGCTGGAAGTTAAGTGTTTGATGCTTACATTTCTAAACACTCACATCCATGCCGATAGATTTCCCAGATGTGGTTATTTTTCATGCTCACTCAGGCTAAATTATCCAACTGTATAGAACATCCTTTTAAAGAAAAACAGAATGCCTGCATTGTATTTCATTATTGTTTTCATTTTTACCTGACGCATGAACTTTCTTTTACTTACACAGAGACATTTTTACCATCAATTGAGACAGAAAAGGCACAATTTGGTGCATGAAAATTCAGCTGAATGCAGGAAATTAGGTGTGAATGCTTAAAACGTCCCTCCTACTTAATGTTTCCCATCTAAAGTTGGAGAAAAAAACGCTTTCCATGCCTGTAGATTTCCCAGATGGGGTTATTTTTCATGCTCATTCAGTTTGAATCATCCAAATTTGAGGAAGATTTTAATTGTGTTTTTTCCTTTGCATAAATTAAGACATTTTTGCCCCATTAGATGCAAAAAAAAAAGGGCACGTATCGGTGCATTGAAATTCACCAGAATGCAGGAAATCGACGGTTTAATGCTCAGAATTTCTCTCTTACTTGATGTTTTCCCTCTTAAAGTTGAAACAAAACCTCTTTCCATGCCTATTGACTTTACAGATGTGGTTATTTTTCATGTTAGTTCAGTCTAATTTACCCAAATAGTTGATTTAAAGGAGCTTTTTAACTGTCCTTACCTCTGAGGAGGCACTGTAAGATTTAGAAGTGTTATTAATAACCTAAATATACATAAATACAGCAATTAGGACGACCATGTTCATATATTTTATGTTACAGTCAAGAAGCTATATTCAGGTGTCTGTTTCAGCTCCAACAACCTTTAATTTAACATAGATGCAACAAAATAAATCATTAATGTCATCTAACGGCTGAAATCAAATGGTAAATCCATCATGACTTGTCCCTGAGAGCTATAAGTGGATCTTTATGCCTCTTTTCATCTTTCCAGGGGTTAAACATGCGCCACTGGACAAGAAGAGCAGTGAGGGGACGGTAGCCCATGACGAGGTACTCAAAGGTCACACTGTGGAGCCTGAAGCCAAGGCAGCAGATGTGAAAGACATCGAGGCGCTCTTGAAATCCGTGGAGGAGAAAAGAGAAACCCCAGAAGACGAGCGCAGCCAAGAGTCGTGGAGTTTCGGCGACGAGAAGGACAAGAGGCACGAGAACGAAGTGGAAGAAGAGCGAGAGAAGAGGAGCGGCTGGAGGCCCGGAAGATTCCACCAGAGGAAAAGCAAACGAGGCGACGAGGAAGAGGATAACGAGCGCAGTCAGGAGAGCTGGGGGATAGACGAGAAGAGGTCAGAAGAAGACGAAGAAGAGGACGAGAGAGAGAAGAGGAACTGGAGGCCTGGAAGATACCACCAAAGGAAAAGCAAACGAGGAGATGAGGAGGAGCCTGAGGAGGAACGCAGCCAGGAATCATGGGATGTAGACAAAAGGCACGGCAGCGAGGACGAGGAGGAGCGATACAAGCGCATCTGGAAGCCAACACATCGCTATCACCACAAGAAAGGCCTGCGCAAGCGCAGCGATGAGCCATCGGAGGGCGACGAATACGAAGACCGCAGCCAGGAGTCTTGGGGTTTCGACGATGAAAGGTACAAGAGGGACTGGAGGCCTGGAAGGCATCACCAGAGGAGACACAAACGTGACGAGGAGCTTTCAGAAGAGGCCAGGGAAGAGCCAGACGAGGAACGCAGCCAGGAGTCGTGGGATTTTGATACTGGAAGAGAGAAGAGAGAATGGAGGTCTAGAAGGCCCCAACAGAGGAGACACAAGCGTGACGAAGAGCTCGCTGAGGAAGAAAGAGAAGAGCCAGACGAGGAACGCAGCCAGGAGTCGTGGGATTTTGATACCGGAAGAGAGAAGAGAGAATGGAGGTCTAGAAGGCCCCAGCAGAGGAGACACAAGCGTGACGAAGAGCTTGCTGAGGAAGAAAGAGAAGAACCAGACGAAGAACGCAGCCAAGAGTCGTGGGATTTTGATTCTGGAAGAGACAAGAGGGACTGGAGAGCCGGCAGGTACCACCAGAGGAGGCACAAACGCGATGAGGAGCTTTCTGAAGAAGCCAGGGACGAGCCTGACGAAGAGCGCAGCCAGGAATACTGGGATTTTGATACCGGGAGAGAGAAGAGAGAATGGAGGGCTGGAAGGCATCACCAGAGGAGACACAAGCGCGACGAAGAGCTCGCAGAAGAAGAGAGAGACGAACCAGAAGGAGAGCGCAGCCAGGAATACTGGGGCTTCGATAAAAGGCACGGAAAAGAAGAGGGAGAAGTAGAAAAGCGCATTTGGAAGCCGACACACCGGTACCACCACAAGAAGAAACTTCACAAGCGTGGCGGAGGATCGTCAGAAGAAGAAGAAGAACAGAGGGGTGATTCAGAGGAAACCGTGGAGGACAGAGATGAAGCTCTGAGGTATCGTTCATCATACTCACTTCTGCATGTTTGTAGTTTGCACAGTGGAGCACAAAACAGGGATAAGAACTTTGTTTGCACACTTGAAGCAGTGCACATCTACAGACACAAAGGCTACTGGTAGCATCACAACTAACTGGGATTGTTTTGCAGGTACCTGGCTGAGAAACGTAATCCCTGGATTTTCAGAGGCTACTACCACCCTGCCTGGTATAAAAGGGACTCAGACGAACACGCTGCCACCTCAAGCAAGGTAGGAGTCATTCATTTATATTCTATATTAAACTGAACGAGTAGCTGGTTTTCAAGGCTTTAAATGAATGCATGTGTGCAATCCACCAATTTTCAAAGCAAATGCTGGATTTCATTCTGTTTGATGGACATTTTTTTGATCAGCAGCTCATTACTCTGGTCAGTTTACACGATCTTACTTGTTCTGCTTTTCTTCTGCTCAGATGGACGAACTGGCCAAGCTGCTGAGCTACAAGATAAACCACCTGGCGAACCACTCGACTCAAGAGGAGGCAAAGAGGAGCACAAACCAGAGAACCCTCACTCCACAGGAGGTAAATGCAAAAACAGCATCACTAATTCTGGATCAACAAATGACTTTTATCACTAATTTCTCACAATTCCTCGATTACAGATCAAAATCTTAATTGGACACAGTTTGATTTGCAAATTACAAATGCTGTAGTTTAGGATATATGAAGTGTTACCTCTAAATAATGATTTATTCAAACAATTGGGTTGTTTATGCTGCCTATAGATTGACGAATGCCCTGTAGTTCAGGCTACAAGCTGAGATTTACCTGAAATAAGCTCAGCTGCATTATTTATTAGCCACACTTTGCACATTTTGCAGGACGTTGACTCAGTGTCAGTGAGTTTACAAACCAACACCGTCCTCCTTCTGTGGCAGCCGCATTTTTGATCATAATTCATGCGCTGACGCTCCATCACGCTTTAAATCTGTTTAAACACAATCAATATTGAACTGAAGCTTGACTTTAAGAGATGATATCACAAATCAAACTGCAATATCTGTCAGAAAAAATCGTATTTAGACGTTTTCCCCAAATCATCGAACCCTGTGTAGACTGTAATTTACGGTGCAGCGCGAAATGTCATATCTGCTACTGATGACAACCAGCATCCAGGCAACTTAAACATACATGCAAAACTGGAGCTAAAATATATATATATACTGGGAAAAGCACTTCAGTCTGCAGCCTTAAACAATCTGCACCATTTTCAGCTGCCCCAGTAAAGTCATGAAGCACATTACGTCTCTTCACCGCAGCGTTTCACTGTGGGGGGAAAAAGCATCCACACTCATTATGGAAATCTCTACTCTACATGGAGATGTTGGGAACATGCTGCCACTGTTTAGCCTTCAGAACCGCAGAACGCTGGTGAATATGCATCTGTGCAAGTGCACATCAAGAACCATCCCTAGTGAGCCGAACACATGGAGTGGAAAACCAGCACATTCACTAGTAGTAGCTTGTTCTTCAGCTCTCTAGAGTTGCTTTGCTCACATCAGCTCTTCTTCGTCTTGTCCCCTTTATTTGCTCTCTCCACACTGGCGTTTTATATTTGCTGCAGTAATCGCACTCAGAAGCTCATGATTGTAGCCTCCCGGAGCAATCAAAGTCATAATATGCCCATTAAACGAGATCCGCAGCCTGCAGAGACCTCTCTACGTTGTCATAAACTTTAAAGCAGAAAAACAAATTAGAAAGGCAGTGGCATCGTGATTTATTAGCTCCACAGCTCCGAAATTCTGAGCATCATCAGAGAATATTTAACCTAAATGACCAATTAAGGACATTAGGCTAATTTTGAAGCAGACATGGGAAATTAATCCCTTAATTCTGCTCCAAATGTGGTTAAAAAGCAGACTGCTCAGGTGTTGTAATAAAAGTTGTTGCTGACTTGTGAAATGTTTTTCAGGAGAAGGAGCTGGAAAACCTGGCAGCGATGGACATGGAGTTGCAGAAAATCGCAGCCAAGTTGCATGACAACACCGCGTAATCCAGACTACCAGCTACCAGTGAATAAAGGTTGCTGTGTAACTGTACGTCTGCCAACTTAGTGTGCTTACAGTGTTAAAAGTGACAAAAAAAAGAACCATGGAGCCTTGCCAAACCATTTTATCAACCTGTTTTTGTGATATTTTGATGTTCTGAAAATTAATCCGCATGGGAATGGCCTGGACATTTATATATATATACATATATATATATATATAGTCAGAGAAATGTGAAAATATTAATATATATACGAGATAAATGATTCAAATGTGTTCTCAAGACTTTGTTCTGTTTACACTCAATAAAAAGGAGATATTCTGGGACCAAACAGACATCTGTCATTTATTTCTTCATTAATAAGTAGTCGCACATGTTTAGTTCTGCGTTTTAATTGGGTGCAGATACAGATGTATCCCTGGATCATATAACAAATGGCACTTTCTGCAGGGAAAACTAAATTTAAAAAAACTAGAAGCTGGAGAGCATTTAAAAAAAAACAACCTGTTTTACACTTGGTCTCAGGGTAAAAAGACACAAACCCGTCACTTAACTCTCAACACAGATATGATTATGTCACCAGCTCCTCACACACACTGAGCTCAGATAGCCTAAACCGGCTAACTTCTCAGCATCACTGATGTGAGTACACAAGACGGCAGAAAGTGCTCTGATGAATGCAGACCAGACACCCTGCCTCCGCTACTCCAGATGTGTCAAATCGGTTCAACGGAAACGGACGTCAGTTGCTGGAGGAGAATCCCTGCAGGCCCTTCAAACGTTAAGACGCTCCTGTATCCGTTTATCCTTCGGTGTCTTTTAGCTTCTGCCTCTTTGGTGCCGGTTCCTCGGATTGCTGGGGGGCGGCGGGTTTGGATCGGTCCGCGGCGATCGTCGTCCCTGAGAGGAGGTAGCCGCCGCCTCCGCTCATCAGCAGCACGGGATGTGTCCTGTTAGGCAACACCTGGGGAAACGGCAGCAATAAAGTCAGGAGACGTTAACTTGACTGGAGCCGCTCGGGGAAATGACACAGTGGAGGGAGAAAAGTCTGTGAGAACGCAAACACACTGTGCACACTGCGCGATGCTGAGAGAAGCTGCAGAGTGAAAGAACAAATCAGGGGGAAGTTTGGAACACATGATCAGTTATCGTAAAGAACTGATGCTGCCTGATGTGGAATATTTGGAACAGTTTAGAAAGTAAACCGTGTTTGGAAATTGAAGGTGTGACAAATTAAAGGAAAAAACTACATCTTCAATGTCTTAGCAAGATGTTGGTCTACCGAGTGCTGGCAGAACAGCTTCAGTGCTCCTCGACACTGTTTCTATCATCTCTAAATAAATCTGTGCAATACCGACGGTTTTCTTCATATAGAACAGTCTCATGTAGAACATAGTGGTCTGGCTGCACTGTACGATCATTCTGCTGATGTGCACAAACACAAACATGCACGAGCAAAAACGTACATAGGACATGCTGGAAAAGAGTTGTGTGGAGTCGATTCGAGCCACTGCTTCCCATTTACAGAGCCAGGGCTGCGTACGAACACCCGATTTGTTTCACTGAACAGAAAGCTAGACGACATTCACTGAATATGACAGAAACTGGGATGGATAAGAATCGCCGACTCTTCCTTAAATTGAAGGCCTTAAGGCCAATTCATACTTCAGCGTGTCTGTAAGGGTTCGCAAATTGATGCACATTTTCTCATCTAGCCGAGTCTTGACCTCACTGTGGACTATATGTACTAGCAGCACGTTTCCTGCACATGCACCAGGAAAACAAACGCTTGTTTAGAGGAAAGGCTGTGCGAGGAGATTTTCCATCATCCCCACTTTCATAATTCACCTTTTAAAGAGCTGCTGGCCTTTGATTTGTACACGCTTTCACAGCACAAACATAGTAGGAAGCTTTAAATTCTCGGGACACCTCAGAATGAATCACAATCACATGGTGCTGCAATGTGACGGGCAAGGCGACCGTCTGAGTCGCTGACCGACGTGTACCTGTTGAAGTACCTATAGAACTACATGCAAGGCCGGTTCCTCCAGATACAGTGAGTTTAAAAGTGCCTTTATCAGTCACGATCACGATTTTTAAAGATCTGATCAGGTCATCTGTAGTTTTAGGCAAATTAAAAGACATTAGCTGGTTAAAAGCTGCTAATCGTGGAAACGTGCTCCTTTTCCGTCTTACATGCATTGTGAAGACTTGTGGTCGTAGTCAAACAATTATATAGAACATGTGAATGGTGGGTCAGATGGCAAAGTTGTGGACGGTACAACCAAAACAGTGAGTAATAAAGAAATAAGATGTGCAATAAATGACAAAATATGCCGGGTCAAAAATACACATACAGCAAAGCTAATAGTTGGCTAATTGTCCTTTTGGCCATTTTCACCTCAACCAGGCGCTTTCAGTAGCTGTCCACAAGGTTCTGGATGTATTAAATGAATTAAATTGCCTCTGAGGAGTCACCAGCTGTAGAAAACAACAAAAATGTAATTAACCGAGCTTTCTTCGTCACCAAACTGATATTTCAAGCTGCTGTATGTATATTTTCGACCCCACAGATTTGGTCATATTTCCCGAAGCCCTGTAATGAATCTATGAAAGAACCAAAATGAAAGATTGTTGTTTTGTGACGACGCATGTGTTTGTAGAAGTCATCAGACTGCATAAGAGTAGGTCAACTTTTGTTTACGACTTTAAGAGCGACCCTCGTTATATACGATCACAAAAATCACATCAAGTCCTGATTAGAGCAACTTTTACTGCAGCAAATAAATCAAGAAGCAGCAGAGTGTGAACATGTACCTGATAATGTCTCAGCCAGGTGTCTGTGAGTCTCAGGTTCACTGTACCGCCGACTTCCCTGAGTTTTGTGTAGCACTCGATAAGAGGCTGCGGAAATCAAGGTGAAAAAAAAAAAGCATTAAAAGCAGATTCATCATTTCAGCAACCATAAACGCGACAGAGGTAATCAGTAGAAGGGTGTGCGATGTGATTCTAACTCGTCGGCAGTGACAGGAACGTCCACTGCTCTTATGTAATGAGGACGTTACCCACTGAAGCGCTAAACAATAAAACTCTGCGAGCAGTAATGGGAGATCCTTCTTAGATAACGAACGATGCTCATTCAGGGGAGGACGTCAGGCTGTGAATATCTCACCTCTTTGTACTGGGAGTAAACTACAAAAGGCCTGGAGGGGGAGAGGAACCTGAGCAGGGTCATCAGGACCGGACACGGGTGGAAGCGACTCGCTATCACCAGCCTGGGAAACAAACAGATGATCAAGCAAACCTGTCCCACATGAAATACGCCGTCAACAGTGCAGTTTGTAATTGGAAATTTAGCCCATCAGCTGTCGGTGGCGTATTACCGAAAGACTCCAGAGATTTACTACGTGGCTGTGGTCGATGTTCACACCGTATTTCATGCAGCTGGATGAGAGTCAGTCGAAGAGGCTGATTTAGGACAATTGGCTAAACTGCACTCTGTGGCGGTGTTTATGATATAGCTGCTGTGATGTAGAGGAGAAGTCAATAGGCTAACAAGATCAATACTTGTACTCTGGGCTCAGATGTCACCTTCACACCAGTTCACGCATCAATCATAACGAAAGCTATACGGTTCTTGATTTTTATATGAGGGGAAACTGCAAAGTAATCAATTTATTCACCTTGAAAGGACTCTCATCGCCGTGCAGGAGCTCAGGGGAGGCCGAGTAATTTATGGTGACTTTTTAACGGTGTAGTTAACAACACTTTAATCATCCCTACATTTTTTCCTCGATTTTAATTGCTTTTGTTTTGGTGCAGAACTGAGAAACAAAACGTGACACCAACCCGTCGGCGTTCCTGCCTTCCAGCAGGGCTGCAGCAGCCGCTAGCTTCTTCTGCTTCTCCTCCAGCTTCACCTTTTTTTCTTGAGCCTGACAAAAAAAACAAAAAACGAGGAGGTCAGGACGCGTTTCTTTGTTCTGCTGTCTTCAAACAAGAAGCATCTGAGAAAAAACTCAGCCTCGATCGAGGTAAAATTATCAAGTGCTTGTCTGCCTTTCAGCAAACATGAGATGCAAGTAAAACAGATTTGTTTTGGTGAATATTGGACATACTTTGGCTTCTCTGCGCTTCTCCTTCTCTATTTTCTCCTGGTCCTGGCCAGCATCATCCTCGGTGTTTGTCTCCATGCTCTGCTCCTCTGGACTGCCCTGCTGTTCTGCCTCAGGCGGGATTTGTTCCTCCTCTGCTGCCAAGCCGAACTGCTTCTCATCTGCAATGTTGGAAGAAATCTCCGATGAATGTTTCGAACACAATTAACATTTGTTTTTATGAATTTTTATGCTCTTAATTAACTGATTAACCTTAAGGTGTACTTTAGTTTGTCAATGCAAAAATAACAAGAAAATGCTAATCAGAGGGAGACGTTCAGATCTTAGTATTGGTGCTTTTGCAAACAGGAATGTTTTTTTCAGAACAGGCTTGTAGCTTCACCAAAACAACAGTAACTCTATTTATGGAGCACTTTTGAAAACAGTGTCGACTTCGTATCCTAATGAGCAACCTGATCATTTTTCTGGAAAAGTGGTGACCTGCTAACATTTCTGTATCAATTTAAAAGGTGATCCAAGTTTAAACTGCATGCCGTCATATTATCAGATAGGCATGGAGAGGAAATGCATTCTGAGTGGTGTGGCGTGATTTTTGGAAACTTCTTCCACATTTCAGCACCAATCCTGGTAAAAAAATATCACAGATAGCAACAGTTTGAGAGTCAAACTCATAAAACACCTCTCTTGTTCACTTAACATCTACTACAAACTGAAGCATCCATAAAAATACAACTTCACATGATGAACACAGGCTATACCAGGTCCGATTAATGACATTCACCACTAATGAATGTAATCCTAGTTTTAACAAAACATTAACAAGCGCTAAAGTCTAATTTGTTGCTTCCAGCTGTCCAGGACTCTTTGCTCTGAGTTGATTAAATACCAGCAGCAGGATCCATGTGAGCAGCATTAATACATGTGGGGCAACGAAAGCAACCTCATTTATTACCGTTAAATTTAAATGATCCCTGACATGGAGACAGGATTGATCAGGTTCTAACAGGTGAGCACGGGGTGAAAGCATTTGTGAAATAACCGATTTAGATTTAACCTTTTGTTTATTAGTGCTTTATTTTGTATAATCCATCACTCGATGCCCCGTCCAGCCTTGCATGTATGACAGATATCGTGCATGTACTGCTGCCGTTTCTGAATGAAGCTGTGTTAAAATTTTACTTCTGTCTTAATGACAGAATGCCGTCACTATAACAGACTGATGAAGCAGCAATGTTACGTAAAAGAATGTCTGGAAACGGTTTGAAATCAAGGTTCAACAAGACAACAAAAGATGCAAAACTACAAAACGTCACTATATAAGAAATTACAAATAAAACAGTAAAGCAAAAAAAAAAAACCCTAATAAGCAATAAAAAGACATCACACAAAGGCTAGTTTTTAAATATGGGTTCTGCAGCCTTATCTCCTCAGGCAGCTCATTCCAAATTTGAGGGGCTCTGATGACAAAAGCATATTCAGATTTAAATTTGCACTCGAGCAGAGAGAAGGGTCACATTTTGGGATCTAAGCCTACAAAATGGCTCATATGGACCCTGATGGGCCTTAAAGGAGATCAGCAAAATCTAGAAATCACTTCTAAATCTAACAGGGAGGCGATGGAGATAAGCCAGGGCACGCTGCTGCCTTCTGAACTGGTTGGAGGCGAGAGAGTGACTTGTGGTTCATGCCAGAAAACAGTAAACATCTTGGCGAGGCTGCAGAGGAAGGCGGGTCCTACCAGCAGTGGGGTCTTTGGCGGCGGCGTCCAGAGCGCCTGCCAGCAGAGCGTTGACGTGGCAGATGGGAAACTCGTGCAGCGTATCGTGAAAATGCGCAGGGAAGCCAAAGCTCTCCACGCCCGCTCGAACCGGCCCGCCTCCTGGGTACATCTGAATCACCGAGCCGTGGCCTGCACGAGGAGAAAAAAAAAACGCACAATTACACGACGGCTCCAAAAGAAAAGACACTGAATTGATCAAATCCTGCACAACTTGCCTCCCATCCTCTCCATGACGGATCCCAGCACCAGTCCAGCACAAGTCTCGAATACCAAAACTTTGCTGCCAGCGTGGATGTTCGCCAGAGTCAGCATCTGGGCCAGTGTGTCGTACCGCAGGTGGCTGCAACACAACACAACAATCATCTCACTGCTATTCAGAGAAAAGTTTCCCAGCTACTGATCGCTCATTCACCAACTCACCAGATCTTCCCCGGTTCGCGGCCGTGGTACATCATAGCCAGGATGCGGCAGGACGGTTTCAGAATGGTCACCGTGTTTTCATACCTGGAAGAAGACGCGAACCAATAAAAACACGACTTTCATTTGAGTCTAGAACAGATTGTGAGTTCATCGTCAGACGTCACTCACTTCTTCTTCTTCTTCTTGATGTACTTGTCCTGAGCGTACTCAGTCTTATCTCTGAACGTGGAGCTGTTCTCTATCAGCTGCTGGATAATTTCCTGTGGAAGAAATTACAAATATAGCCTCTTTATTCTTGTAAAGTATAGGGTTTCCACAAAAGAGACAAAACCCAACAATGCCTTGGCTTATCGCTCATATTTGTGCCATGTCTGTGGCACTCATCCTCCTGCTGAAAAGAGAATTCCTGGTTATTTTAACCTGGCGTGTTTCCCACTAATGTGTCTATTGTGACTCTGAGTGCAACGCCAATTTTGCACTCGTCACCTCCATTGTAAGGATTTGGGGAAGCGAGGAGTCGCACGAAAGAGCCTGTGAACGGCATTTAGCGAGGAAATCAGTATGAGCTCCCTGCAGCTTTCCAAAGAAATCTAATTGTTACATGAATCTTTTGTTTTCAGTCTGACCAAAGTTAAACAGAAATTAGCCGCCTGGAAGGGATATTATGCTAACTGCACGAAAGATCTCCATCTGAGGACACTTGTCAGTCCGTCTTTTGTTGCATTGATGGAGGTGGGAAGACAGCAAACCTCTGAACCTGCGCTGAGCATCACCTGTTCACGGCAGACTGGGAAAATCCTCCTTGTGTTCACGGATGAGAGGAATCCCAGCTGTGGAGTTAAAATGAATGAATGTGTAGCTTAGATCAACATCCTGGAGATGACCACGACCAGCCGGGCTGAATGCTCAGCTCAGTAAAAGCTCATACTTTGACTTCCTGTATATCTGTTTCTTGTTTTTTTGCTTACATTTCTGTACATGTGTTATTTCATTTGTAAGGTACTATTTCTTGGCATCCACTCAGCATTTTGTACTGTGTATTCTTATTTGATTTCTATTTAATTACTAATCTTTCTGTAACTGTGTATGTCTCTCTAACCTTTGTTTATTGTACTCTGGCGAAACAACTTCCTTCGAGTTAAATAAAGTCGACCTTATCTTATCTTAACCAGTTGATTATATGTCTGTTCCAGTGTTTACTTTCAGTCAGACCGGAAACAAATGTTTATAATGATTCATGTAAAAATCAGCTACAGGGAGCTTGTGCTAATGACCGACCACTAAACCCCCTCATTCCTACCAATCTATACAATGGACATAAAGAACTCAGCTTGGATTACACTCCCATGCACACACACAGACACCGTGGATGCATAGTTGTTGCTGCTGCACTAATTTATTCTGCTTGGAGGACAAGAATACATTCCTTACATCAGCATCTCTCTCATGCAGACACAAATTCTAGCATGAATGCATGGAGGAAATGTATATCACTGTGACTCCAGCAGACCCTCCTGGACAAGAAAAGTACAGAACTGGCCTTAGCATGACCCTTAAAGCATCCATGGCCATCAAGTATTTACCTTTATTCTGAAAAGCATAGAGTGCTTTTTAGAAAATGTTTGGGAGTATTTTCAGCTCTTCGTAATAAAAGGAACACCAGTCACCCAGTAGGGCTGAACTAATAATTGATTTCAAGTCAAAACTGTGATTTTGAAGCAATGCAATGAGCAAATCACAAAGCAGAGTTTAGGATAAATGTGAAGCAGCACGTCTGTCCCACGGTTTAAGCTGTCAGTGGTTTTACTGATTTATGCTGTCATCTTTGTTTGATGGCGTCTCATGAGGTAAAGATCAAAATAATGAGAATAATTACAAGTTTTATATGTCTTACACAGTAAACGCTCAACTTAACGCCATCAAATTGCAATAACCGTCAAAAAAAAAAGAAGATATTTTATGAAATTGTTCACCCTCTTCACCCACTGTAATTGTGAATCTGATTTATGTGTTTCCATAGACACAGACGTCCAACAATGGATGTCTATGACACAGATGACAACTAAAGATTATTTTCAGGATTAACTGATTGTCTGTCGCCTATTGAAGAGTTTAAATAGGTATTCCGTTTAATGTCACAGAAGGAAAGAAACCAGGAAATGTTTACGCTTAAGGGGGCCGATTAAGTTAACATTTGAGAACTTATTAATTAATCAATGTAACGTTACAGATCTACGGACGAATAAGTGGCATCAGACAACACTTACGAGCAGAAAGTAGTCATTGTTGATTTTCTGTGGAATTCTATATTAATTTTAAACAAAAAAAAACATCCTGTTGCTGTCTTTCTTTAACTACAAAAACAAAAACACAAAAGCAGACGGGGCATGATCATTTAAAACGTATATGTAATTGTAAAGCTGCAGATGTACCTGACCCTTCAGACCTTGCTCTTTGAGCGTCTCGATGTCATCCCTGGTCAGTTTCTGTGATTTACCGTCGTCGACAATGTGTCTGTTGTCTGTACCTGCCTCCTTTAAATCTGGGACAAACAAACAAACAAACAAACCCAAATAGATTAATCAAGGAGAAAATGACAGCGAGAAAAAAGGCTGTCAGGAGTCTGGGAATAACTGATATTCATCAAAAATAAACTTCCACAGGTGGCACAAAAAAAGGAAACTGAAATCTGACTGTGTGTAGCATCAAACAGCTGGATACACACCTGAGGGATTCCCTGTTTCCTTCTGCTTCTGGGGCTGCAGGATTCCTCCAGATGAAATCTCAAATGTGGTGCTGTACAAGTTCCCCACTGCATTATCCAGGAAGAACCACTGCTTCTCAAAAATCACCTTTCTGTGAGGGAAAACACACAAGATCTGTCATTCTTGAGTAACATTTACACGTGATATTAAGTCAGTAGGTGATGAGAAAATAACATGTAAGCAAAACACGGTGACCTATCAGCATGCTTTCAAGGTTTTCTGCCCTTTCATGGGGTTAATACTTAGAAAGACACAAACTGAGGCTTGTGTTCAGCTGGTAGAGGAGTGACCTCTGCAGTATTTGACTCACTTCTTGGGTAGAATCTGCACAGCTTTGAAGATGTCCCCTCTTTTCAGAACAACGTAGTCTCCCTCATTGATTCTGTACTGATCGTCTCCGTTGTCCGCCATAATACGGCAGATAAACCGCTTCGCCGCCCAGCTGAGAGCTAAAAGCCGCTTTCAGGTAATTTCACGGAGTCGTAATTGACAAGGCACACTTCGCAAAAGGCACTACAGGAACCTGAAGGGAAAGCAAAACACCGCAAGTTAGTATTTCCACGTGTTAGCTTCCATTTCCGTAGCCGCTCAGGACGGATAGCTGAAAGCAGACCGTAGGTGCAGCGTCCGCGCCTCTGATTGGCTAGAGCCGAGCCGCTGAGATTTCTAGCCAATAGGAGCGACGTGCGATGAGTGAACTGCTGATTTCAGAATCATCGATGGGAGCGAGTTTAAACAGAGGGAGGGGGCGCTAAATTCTGGGAGAGTACTCAAGTAGAAATACCAGTACAGCAAAGTAAAAATACTCGATTACAACTAAAAAATAATGCATGGAAAGCAGCAGCAAAATATGTTTGAAATATTAAAGTCCTGGTTTGTCCTCACTGACTGATATACTATTATATCTGCCATCATTATATTAATAATAATGCAGTGTGTTATCTGATGAATAAAGATAGTGAACATGTGCAATTCTTTAGGATGACTGGAAAAGAGAGAACTAATATATTCTTATTGTTTAATAATCGATTCGTTGTCAACTATTGAACTGTTCGCCAGTGATCGTGAGAATCATTGATGTTTAACATTAATGTCTTTTTAGAAACTGCTTTATGTGTTTTCATTTTGGCCAGATGGAAAAATGTATTTGGCATGAATTTTAAGGCCTGTAGTTTACATTA